GAAATTATATATACTGTTCTGTAGTTTTCTCATTTAACATTTTGAATGTATGTGGTTAGTGCATATGGATTAATCTTACTCTTTCTAATAGCTGCATATGGTATATACCAGAGTTGCTCCAACCAATGTCTTATTGATTGATAATTTGAGTTGCTCCCAGTTTTTGTGCTCTTACAAACAGTAATGCAGTGAGCATTCCTCTTGACAGTTCTTATTACAGAACTTTTTCTTATATTGGCCTAAAATCTTCCTCCTAACTTTCACTTAATTGATCCTAAAAACAGTTTTTTATGTCTTTCTGAGTTTTCTCTTGGGTTGAAACATTTCTCATCCATTTGTCCATTCTCCCTTTGGGTCCCTTCACTGTCTTCCAGATGTGGAATGTTTAATGGTATGATGTAACTGAACACTGTCTTAGTTGTGGTTTTACCTGAATGGAGAGGGTGGGGTTGTCTATTATTTTAATTCAGCCCACAATTTTATTCCTAAGGCTGCCATATCACATTGTTGGTTCATATTAAGGATAGAGTCCATTAAAGGTTCACATTTGGAGTTCTTGGATCCCTGCAATTATTGCTACAATAATTGGTGTTTCTCCTTTCTTTATGATTAGATGTTGATTACTTTTCTGAAATCATAGGTTCTCTCATTCTCTACCAGTGCTATTTCATCTTCAAAAATTAAACAGGAAACAGTGTCAGTCTTGGAATTACCTGGTGAGTTCATGCTGCCTCCTAGTGTATGGCACTTTCTTATTTTCAAGTACTAACTATTAACAATTCAGGATCCACCTCAGTCTAACTGGTCTGTGGTTCGGGACTCTGTCTGACTTCTAGTCTTCTCCCATTCATCATGATTCCACACAGATTACAGAAAGCAATTAAGCAGCCTTATCTGTGAAGCCTCTCAGGATCCCAGGACGTGATTTGTTAGATCAAATGACTTGAACTCGGTGAGAATAACTAGCTGGTTTTTCTTTTTTCTTTTTTTCTCTCAACCATCTTGGATTTAAGTCTCTTCTTAGTAATTGTATTTGATCTTTAGATTGGAAAGAATAAGACATTCTTAGCCGAGAATGGAAATAAAATAGGAGTAAGGTTGCTTCTCTTTGTTAATATTACATTAACAACCTCATTTGGGCGGTGGGGGGGCTCCTTTTACCTTAACCTCTAGAATGCCATTTATTCCATATCTGGTACTTAGTAAAGTCACAGTTCTTTCTGAGGCTTTATCCTTATTTACCATATTCTTATAGCTTCATTTCACTCTTTATAATATTTATGTGCCCATTTTTTACCATCTGTTGTAAGTGGTTTTTTAACATCTGAATTTCAGGAAGCTCTCTGTGCAGCACATCAGATTTTTTAGATACTTTCCCCTTTTCTTACCCTCATCAGTGTATTTTGCAATTATGCAGTCAGCATTATGCTTTTGAGAGCTTCCAAACCTTCTTGAGCTTCCTTATACAGTTTCTGATCTTGGAATTGATCCTAATTTTCTTTTGAAAAACTTGAAATCTGCCTATCCAATATGTGCAGCATTCTTCTTTCTTTGTTTCTTGATCTCCAAACAACATGGCTGCTTTCTCTAAAGCGTCCTCCTACTTGCACATTACCAATCATGTTTTACTAGTGAGGATTAAATTCAAAGTAAGCTTCTTTCATTTCTCCTTTACTTTCTGAAATACTAAATTTTGACATAGACCAACAGCATGTCATCAGATACATTGATTTAAGCTGAATGACACTTTCATTAATGTCCCCTGGTCAGTAATAATAGCTAATAACAGCTAATTGTTTTTGCGCATTGCCACATGACAAGCACCATTCTAAATCCTTTCTACGTAGATGACCTTACTTGTCCCCTAGCATGGGGTTAGGAGGCGTGAGTGTTATTGTTATCCCAGTAATACAGTTGAGGATATGGACTTAAGGATGCTGAATTAACATGCCCAAGATTGCACAGCTTGTGAGTGTTAAAGTCAGAAATTTCTTAAATAGAATCCTTAATCACCAGACGTGGTACTTAATTAATATGCTGGACAAGGTTCTATTACCTGAAAACCTGTGTAGCTCTTGGACCACTGGCTATGCACAGAAGGCACTTAAATACTTAATTTGGGGTTTATGATTCTTGTTGATTTTCAGGGTCTTGCCTTTTAGCTCCTGTAAGTCAGTAAGATAAGAAAGATGGATAAGGCACACCATTAGGCAATTCATAGAAAAAAATGAATGGAATGAAAATTTGAAAAGATGTTCATTCTTAGTGAAATATGTTGTGATGACTTTTTGATGAAGACCCATTTATTGAATGACAAGTACTTTTCTTTATAAATATGTTACGTGAACAACAAAAAATGCAAAAATATCTCTGAAATTCCAGAGAGAATCACTGTTAACACAAGCAAGCATACATAAAGTTTTATTTAATTGGAATAGTACCAAAGTACTACTGCTTTTTAGAAACTGAATATGTTGTGAGCATCATTTCATATTAATAAATACTCGATGTTATCCTTAGTGGCTGTATAGAATTCCATTGTTTTTCATCAGAGATTGAAGCTCATTCTTACCACTTGAGTTTCAGGGGGGAAAAAAAAAGAGATTGAAGCTTAGTGTTTCCTTGGTTCTTTACTTTAACTTTTTGTGTGTGAAGTAAAAGTAGTAAAGGATAAGGCCTCAGATCTTTCTCATATTTCCTTTATTATATTTTATTGAAATTACTTGTTTGCTGTTATTCATTATTTGCTGTGATTTTTTCCCACAGTTATTATTTTGTTAGGAAAAATTGAACTTGATACCCAATTACTGTGATCCATATGATTGACTCTTTTTATTAAGAACAATTATACTGTCCTTTCATTTGAGAGAGGTCATTAGGGTCACTCACTGAACATGTTAAGTGTTTTAATAAAAGTATGTCATTTAAATATTTTTTCTAAAGAATAATAGAAGCTGTGTTGTAACATGCTGGAAATTATGTGAACTTTCAAGCAAAATTGGCCTGGTTCAAGGTTCAGTTCCTAGCTCTATCAGTTTTAGTTGTGTAAACAATTTGGACAAGTTATTTAACATTCTAAGCCTCAGTTTTTTTATCAGGAAAACAGGGATGGTAATTGCACTCTCACAGGAGAATAATTGAACATGAGATGCACACGTAAAACATCCAATACAATAACAATGTTAGTTTTTTCACATGAGATGGGGCTTCTCAACCTTTTTTATGCCATTTACCCCCTTGCTAATCTAGTGAAGCCCATGGAAGACTGCTTTTCAAAATAATTATTTTAAGTGCATAAAATAAAATGCCTGGGATTATAAAGGAAACCAGTTATATTGAATACAGTTATCAGAATACTTAAAACAAATTTGTAGTACTTTCTCTTTCAAATACTTTTTTGGACTAAGGTGAAGAATAAATGAGCTGGGTGCAGTGGCTTATGCCTATAATCCTAACACTTTGGGAGGCTGAGGTGAGAGGATTGCCTGAACCCCATGGGTTTGAGACCAGCCCGGGCAACTTGGTGAGACCTTATCTCTACAATAAGTAAAAAATTAGCTGAGCATTGTGGCGTATGCCTGTAGTTTCAGCGACTTGGAAGGCTGAGGTGGAAGGATCGCCTGAGCCCAGCAGGTCGAGGCTGTGGTAGCTGTGAATGTGCCACTGCACTTCAGCTTGGGCGACAGAGTGAGACTCCAACTCAAAAAAACAAAACCAAAAAAGAATAAATGAATGACTGGATTAAAGGAAGAGAAAGATAGGAAGTAGGAAAGGAAAAGAGAAGGAAGGAGAGAAAGCTCATAAATACATATGCTTGGTTTTGCCTCCCTCCCAAGCTGTTATCCCAGATTTCCAACAGGCTCCTAGACATTTCCTCGGCATCCTACCAGCAACTCATCCTACCAGCGAAATTGAATACCTCTCCCAAACCAACTCTTCTTCCTGGTTTTCCCTTATTGATATCACCATTTTCTCTATCACCTCAGGTCTAAATCCTCAAATTACATTTGAGTCCTCATGTTTTCACCCAACTTTAAATCATAGATTTTATAGTATCCGATTTCTGTTATCCAAATGTAAGACCCTCTTATCCTTGTCCTATTATGACATGGGATTTTTCTGTTTGATTTCCAACTTCCTACCTCTTTCACTAAGTATCCCTTGAGTGTTTCAGGCCAGTTTGATATGTTCTAGATCTACAGTTTTGCAGCACTCACAGATGTGCTGTTCAACTTCATACCTAATTGTTGACTAACTTATTCACTTGGTAAATTGGTATTTGTTTACATCTTCCCAAATATGTTCTAAGTTCTTTAAGGAAATGGACCACATCTTATACTTATTTTCATATCTCTCTATAGTGCTTAGCACAATACTTTAAAAGTGCTTCATAAGATCTTGGTAGTCATCATAATTAGATAGCTCCAGCTCCAAAAGCAAAAAGGAAAAAGTTTGACCTCTTATCTACTGAATTATTACTATAGGAGCTAATAATATCAGATCAAGTCTTTGTGTCAAAAACCTATTGGAAGTTTTGTGTGTGTTTAAATTTTCACTAACTTACTAACTTAACTCCCCAAATTAATTTAGTCATGGTTTTTTTTACAGTGTTATGGTTAAGAAAACAGTAGAGGGCATGGTTTCCTCTACTGGGAAGCCCCGTATTTGTCCTCATAGCACCCACTTGTAGCTCAGGCCTGACATATAATAGGTGTCTAATACATTTTGGTAGATAAATTGCCATCTGCTTGGAGATTAACTTGTGCCTGAAAAATAGTTTTACTTTTAAAAACTTGGGAATGTACATAGATTATTACAGATTATAAAAACAAATAATGATTTTTGAAATGCTTTGTAGAAAGTATTTCAAAGTAGGTGATCTTACCAGAAAAAGCAGTTTTAGGAAAGTGAGACTAAAATAATCATTTTAGTGAGCTTTGATATTTTGTTTGCCATTGATGCTTTTTCCCCTATTTAAATTCTTTTACTTGTGTTCTTAGGTTAAGACATCAGAATTTTATAGATACTCCCGACAGCTGCGTTATGAAGTTGACCAAGCATTGAATTACTTTCAGAACGTTCACCAGCAGCCTTTGTTGGATATGAAATCAAGCCGTATTCGTTCTGCCAAACCCCAAACTACAGTATTTCGAGGGATGATTGGACATAGCATGGTTAACAGTAAAATACTCCTTTTAAAGAAACCAAGAGTCTGGTGGGAATTGGAAGGCCCACAAGTACCTCTGCGGCCAGACTGCCTTGCTATCGTCAATAACTTTGTGTTCCTGTTAGGCGGGGAAGAACTGGGCCCTGATGGCGAATTCCATGCCTCTTCCAAAGTGTTCAGGTATGACCCAAGACAAAATTCTTGGCTGCAGATGGCAGACATGTCTGTACCACGCTCCGAATTTGCAGTTGGTGTTATTGGGAAGTTCATTTATGCTGTAGCAGGCAGAACCAGAGATGAGACTTTCTATTCAACAGAGAGATATGACATCACCAATGATAAATGGGAATTTGTGGATCCTTATCCAGTTAACAAATATGGACACGAGGGGACAGTGCTCAATAACAAGTTGTTTATTACTGGTGGAATCACCTCGTCTTCCACCTCCAAACAAGTATGCGTGTTTGACCCCAGTAAAGAAGGGACCATAGAACAGCGGACCAGAAGAACTCAAGTAGTGACCAACTGTTGGGAGAATAAGAGCAAGATGAATTACGCAAGATGCTTTCACAAGATGATTTCTTACAACGGCAAGCTTTATGTCTTTGGTGGCGTCTGTGTGATCTTGAGGGCCTCTTTTGAATCTCAGGGATGCCCTTCCACAGAAGTGTACAATCCCGAGACTGATCAATGGACCATTTTGGCATCCATGCCGATTGGTAGAAGTGGCCATGGTGTGACTGTGCTGGACAAACAAATAATGGTTCTTGGAGGCCTTTGTTATAATGGTCATTACAGCGATTCAATTCTCACCTTTGATCCAGATGAAAACAAATGGAAGGAAGATGAGTACCCTCGGATGCCCTGCAAGCTGGATGGTTTACAAGTATGCAACCTGCATTTTCCGGACTATGTACTGGATGAGGTCAGACGTTGCAACTAATGACATCTTCCTTAAAAAAAAAAAAAGGCAAACAAAGTATTTGTTTGTGATGAAGTAGTTAATTAAAAACATAAAGAAAAACCTCACCAGTTTTACTATCAAAGCCATTGGTCTAATATCGTAAGAATTTTTCATTCTGTGCTAGCATCCTTTTTTTTTTTTCTTTTCAGTGGCCTCAAACTCATGCAATAAGTTAATTCTAAGTGCTAGCTCTTGAAACTACTTCCAGAAGCAGTTTAATAGAATGCTCCACCTATCTGGGAAATTGATTTTTCTGCTTTAAACATTTCTTTCAGATGTTAGTGTAGGAGTCATGCATCTTCCAAGAGAAGACCCGATAAGTGTCACTGGATGTGATTTCAGTCCCTATCTCTATCTGAAATCTTTTTGAACATTTATTTCAGTGTATTTCAGTCTGTTATACCTTTTAGTTTTATTATTTGAAAGTTTAAAATTCTTGACCTTTTTGCATGGCTTTTTGCTGAAAATGCAAAAATATAAATTTTCTACAAAACTAACTTTTTATATTCAAAACACTATTTCTAAGCTGCCTTCTCTTATTCGCATCGTGTTAGTGAAAGCATATCCATACTTGCATACATCTATAAATATATAAGGCACATCCCTTTTATGCGTGGTTAGGATTCTATATTTTTAAGCTAGTGCACTTGCACACACGGTTCGCCATACTTTAGATGTAATGTCTTTTCATGTAGTTACATTTTTAGAAAGTTAAAATAACTGGAGTCCTCATTTGGTATCAGAGTAGCCTATCTTCGGTCCATACTGATCCAGTAATATTTGAACTCCTTATATTTCTGAAACATGTATGGATTTATGAGAACTAACATTTTATATTTTATTTTCAAAAGTAAGCATTAGTGTTCCTTGTTGATGTATGTCTTTTCTTTTGGAAACTGTTTTTCTTTGCAATCTGTTTAACGTTGCCCTGTTTTTAGTGAGAATTGGAGTGGTATATGACAAGCTCTGACCCTGCAGCGTGCAAGCACTTTTAACGAGAATTTAGGTAATAACAGACTCCTAAATAAAGGCCCCTTAAAAGTAAGTGCAACTCCCATTCTTTACATTTAGTAAGGCTGCTGCATCTGTTATTGAATGGAAGGTAGCAACTCTTAGAAAATTTGAGCTCAGTTCTGACTTAGAGGTAAGAAATAGAATTATAACGTTACTGGTTATATCTACTTGTTTATTTCAAACAAAATACCCAGCGGCACTAGGGATGTAAGCCCTTAACTTTTGTTTTATTTACTGAAAGCTACTAGCATGAAGGATAGTAACCACAAAGTTCAGAATGGATCAAGAATAGCTGTTTAAAAGCATTAGTAAGTGTTTTGGGATTAGCTGCACCTTTCAACTCTTAAAACACGAAGGAAAAAATATAGCTGACAAAATTAAGCAAGAATAACCTGGGAGTGGATCATTCAAATTGATGCCATTTTCTCGTGAGTAGTCTATATCTGATACAGACTAGATCTACACTGGCAAAACTTGCCAGAACTTAGGATATTGGTGCAATATTGCAATGCCTTCTATATGGCTGCTGTTGTATAAGTTTTCTAGTTTCACTTTTTTTTTTTTTTTTGCTGCTGCCACCATTGAACATAAAATGGAAGTGTGAAGTCATGGAAATGTGAAGACTTTGTTTTTTGGTTTTTTTTTGTGGGTTTTTTTTTTCAGTTCATTTAGACATACTATAAAAACCTGACCTTAAAACTCCAAAACTAAGCTGGGCACAGTGGCTCAAACCTGTAATCCCAGCACTTTGGGAGGCGGTAGTGAGAGGATTGCCTGAGTCCAGGGTTTTGAGACCAGCCTGGGCAACTTGGCAAGACTTTGTCTCTACAATAAATTAAAAAAATTAGGTGTGGTAGCATGTGCCTGTAATTCCAGGTACTTGGAAGGCTGAGGCAGAAGAATCGCCTGAGCCCAGCAGGTCAAGGCTGCAGTGGCTGTGAGCATGCCACTGCACTCCAGCCTGGGTGACAGAGTGAGACTCCAACTCAAAAACAAAACAAAACAAAACCCTCCAAAACTGGAGGCATTTGAGTTTAAGAAACAGGTACATAAGTAGCTTTCAAAAAAGAAAAACATTGGCATTGGTTGCAGAAATCAAGTTAAAAATAAAATGATTTTGTATGAGACTTAAATTTTTATTAAGTGGTCCAATCATTTACTTACAGTTTTTTGTTTTTTGGAGGCTTTTTGGTAGAGATAAGAGTCTCATTGTGTTGCCCAGGGTGGTTTTGAACTCCCAGGCTCAAACAATCCTGCCTTGACCTCCCAAAGTGCTGGGATTACAGGCATGAGCCACCATGTCTGGCCCATTTGCTTACAGTTTCTAAACATGAAATTCAGTATCTGCTTCTACCCATGGTAATATAGGTAAACGTCTTTTTTCTACATTAAAAATTTTTAATTATTTTACTTTTGAAAACTAGGAATTAAGTTAGCCATTTGATTAATTTTTGAAATGCATTAGTTCATTTAGGGTTTTGTATGTGTTCTGTCTTGCTTTAAAGAAAATAATGTCTTCATTATTTTCCTCATTGATGTCTTTTACTGGAAAAGACTGAGAAAGAATCATCAGATAGGGTACCATATCAAAGACTTTATACTCCAGTGGTGGTTCTCTTTAATTGCTTAGATATGACTTCATAGCCCTGGTTTGGGTAACATCTGGGCAAACATTTGAATATTCTTGGTCTTTCATTTAAAAGATACAAGGCCAAGATCAAATTTCATGTTTTGTAAAATTCATGAAATCTTAACTTGAACTAACTCTGGGTTCAGCTTCACGTAAGTCATGTCTGACCTGATGTTAGCTGTAATCAGTTTTGAGCTTTAAGAATAGTTGCTGTTGTTTGGGATCTGAATGTATGAGAAAAATCCTCTGTTTATATGTAGTTCTAACTTAGGTTATTTTAAATCCATGATTAACTTACATTCCCTTTTAAAATGATGGTTTAATTGCTGCAAGAGATTTATTTTTGTTATACTAAACTATGGAAAATTTTTTCATAGCATTTTTTCAAGTTTATTTTTTGTGTGCTTCATTTGGAACCTTTTTTTTGTTTATATACATTGTATGCGCTCAAAATAGTAGTTTTTAAAAAATTCAGTAAGAGATTTGAAACTATACAGTGTAACTGTTGTGATCTTTATGTGTGTTATTTTCACTTTACAGTTTAAATGCCAGACTTCACAAAAATAGCTGATCTTCATTTAATTGCATCCTAATTAGAACCATTTGTTCTCTTCCATGTCTTTGACCTTCTAAATTTTGATTTTAAAGAAAATCCTTGCACTACAACCTTTTCATAAAATGCAAGATTCTCACCTTTGAAGGTTTTGTATTGGAAGAAATGCTACTGGTTTTTGAAAGGCAAAGCTTAAGTAATAGAATTTTGAGCTTTTCTTGAGACAACTTTCTCTGTGTCCTCATCACTCTGCTCTATGTGAGTTTACTATATTGTGAAATACTGACTGAGCCCTTCACTTACCTTTTCTAAAGCAGCACCTTTGGACACCTCATTCTGGGAAGCCTGCTAGAGTCATAGTAAAGGACACACACTTTGTGTGAGGAGAAGTAGTAAAGATGGAGTTTTGTCTTAATTACACGAAACTAAGCTTTAAAATATTTTATAACAAATTATTTGAGCTGCATAATCTAAACATGTCAAACGTTCAGTGGGACTATTTTTATATATGTATATGTTGGTGTAGGTCATAACATTTCAGTTTATAATATAAATTGTTATTTCAGTTTATAAGCTATCTCTCAGAGGAGACTAGCTCCTTTGAGAATACATAATTTAAAGTTTTAGACTGAAGTAAAACACAACATAGATAATAGTGTAAATTAGATATAATTGAGGGCTATATGGCAGTACAACTGCTAGTGCCAGTTTTCTTGTTTGCCTATTATACATTTTTGATTTTTGTTTTGTATTCTGAACATTTTTAGAGATCATATGTTCAATTGCGTCTAGAGTCGGTTTGGGAATAAATATCTTCTAAAAAGAGATTTATCTTAAAAATGGAAGTCCTGAAAAATTAGTTTATCGAGAGTTTATAAAGTCAAATATTCACTAGGCATAGACTGGAATAGATAAATTCATGGAAGTCATATTCTTTCAGTATACCAGTATAACTTCAATACTACACGAGTAACATTGAGAGAATGCCATCAGCTTTGTTCCCCCTTAATGTTTTTGGATTTTCTTTCTACATCTTTGGGAGCTGCATTAAAAATTGTATTAATCAGTATACCAGTAAGGATTAGGTATTTGCTTTCTGAAGGAATGTTCCAGTGAGGTGGTCGGAGAGGTTATTTTCTACCTAACTTGTATATGCCCTATACCTCTTGGGCATACTTTGTCTATAGAAAAATATTTTGACCTTTAGGTACATTTTGGGCCAGTAGTCAAATATCCTAGGGCCGATATAAAAATCTTAGAATAATTTAAGGTTTGCCTTTTATACCTGTTTTGAAAGCCTTTACATTTTTGTCAGGTAATTTTTCCCAAGCCGTGGATATAATCTATTCAAACATGTTTATGCTATCCATTCTGTTTTTAAATTGAAAAAAATGTTAAAAGTGTTTATGAAGAAAAGTTTAAATAAAATATTTTTAATCTTTAAAATATACTTCTTTATCTCTGGTTATTTACTATTTTCACACAATCCATCACTTTCAAAGTCACTAATGACTTGATTAGCAGCATACATTTTGTTTTCCTTCAGCATGCCAAGGAAGTGCCACGAAAATGTGATTTTCACCAATGCTTTCAGCCACAGATTCAAATGAGAGCATTAGAGTGAAATTATTTATATTCTTATGTGCAATGGAAATTGTATAATGAAGCCAAGTAATTAAAGTTCTGCTAACACAGAGTTTTGCAATTTTGCAGAATGAAAATATAGAACTGAGGAAAAGCATTTGCAAGCCTCAAGCCTTAGTTTGGTGACTTTTAGATTTCCTTCAGCATTTCTCATCCATTGGTCTTAAAGGCATTTCTGAAATTCGGAAATAGCAGAGGTCTTGGGTATACATAGGCACATGTGTGCCTTCTTTCAAATGGACGCCTAAGAAACCCCAGCAGGATTCCCAAGTGCCTAGATCTTGGCCTCAAGCCACCTCTCCAGCCTCTTTCTCTCCATCACTGCCTACACTCCATTCTGTTGTGATCTTTACATGTGTTCCTTTCCAGCTTAAAATTCTTTGCCTTTCTTTCCCCTGCCCTGCTTGTCAAAATCCACTTATTTTGCAAAGCCCAACTCAAATGTTCCCCTCCTGTAACCTGTGTTGTCTCTTCCATTGAATTAATTGCCTTTTCTACACGCAACACATTTGTAGCTTCTAATTCTTTTCATTTTGCATAATAGTTGGGCATCATTATTTCTCCACAACTAAATCATAGTCTCCTTGGGTGAAAGGACCTTCTCTAATTCTCTGTGCCTTTATATCTAGCATGATACTTTTTACACAGTAGGCACTGAGCTAAATGTTTACTGCAGCATATGACAGATTCCAGATAAATTACAGGCAAATGCCAAAGGAATTCAGATGAGGTAGGTATTACAGTTCCTCAGGGTTTGTGTCTCTGCTTTCTTAGTCTGCACACTCCCTGCACAATTTCATACCTATGGCTTCATCTCCAACTTTTATTCTGATACCTATCAAATCTGCATTTCTCAATCCAGAGTTCCAGCCATCTCCACATTGCTCACATGAACAAGTGCAAACGCGAATATATTATCTCCTCCTCAGAAACATGCCCCTTGTCCTATATTCTCTGTATTATGTGCCTCGACCACTGCCTGTGATTGTTCAAGTCAGAAACCTGGGAATGTTCAACATCTTAGTCCATCCGGTTCCAGCACTTGAAACGCTCAACTGCCCTCTCTCTTCTCCATCCATACTGCCCTAGTTCAGGCCCACATTGTTCTTACTGGCCTCCTTTTGGAGCTTTCTTTCTGATTGTCTACCTCCATAATCCATTTTCTACACCACAGCTGGAGGGTGCTTTTAAAAGGTAAATCTGATCCTGAGATTTAACAGCCTTTTTTGATAAACCCCCCTTCACCCTGAGAATAAGATTCAAACTCCCTAGCGTGCCACACAAGGTCCTGCATGTTTTGCTCCCTTTCTGCCTGTTCAGTCTGTTTTATACCCTATCCTCTAGCTATGCAAGCTAATGAGTTCCTGAATAGGCCATGTTTTCTCTAGCCTCTGCCTTTGCACATGCACTTCCCCTCTTCCTTTACAACTCTTTCTTGGTTGTCAAGAACCAGCCTGGGCATCATGG